CACACACACACACACACACACACACACACACACACACACCTCAGATAGCTCCTCTTTCACCCAGTCGATACTGCTATAAGAGAGATTATAAAAATCGGCCAACAACAGAGCAATGAAGCCCAGCGGCACAGTGCTGCACATTAATACGTCGTCTAAAGCAGTGGACCCAGGTCGTGCATTGATCTGGTGAATAACACCGACACCCCAGTGTGCCAGGCAGCCAGTCCGGCACTTCTACTGTTGTTGTAGTCAATGTGAGCAGTCACACATCTGTAATGTTACAGAAACTGGGTGTGTATCCACCCTGGGCAGGAAAATGTTTCTCTTTAAATCACTACTATGAGGAGTGGGGTAGTTTTATGTTTAATATCATACCCAAAGCCCCATCCTCACTTTTCTCCTGACTTTATTTTTCTAATTAAAGTTCCCTTCACCCTCCAACAAGACAAGGACAAGGAGGAGAAGGACGCTGAAAGGAGGTGTGACCTTCTTCTGATGTTCTCTGGACAGCCTGACAGGAAGTAGGTGACAAGTGTTGAAAGGGAAGTGAGAAAGGGATACAGTCAGGGGAGAGGGAGAAGGCTCGGGAGTGACAGAGAGAAGGTGAGACAAGAGGGGGAGATGGAAAGGGTAAAGAAAGAGAAAGAGAGAGAGGAGAGATGAGAGGACAGAAAGTGTGTGGAGGTGGCATTCAGAGAGGCAGGGAAATGAATGGAAGAACATTAAAGAGGAGAAAGGAAACAGGTACGAAGCTCATAGGCAGATTGCAGTCAGTGAAGTGGAGATCTCCAGAGGCTGCAGCCATTTAAATTGTTCCAAGTATGGTGCATGCAATGCTTCACCGTGCATTGCAAAGCAGTAAAGAAAACACTTTTTCTGGGGCTAATCCCGCTGTAATCAGGCCCACTGAGGACAAAAAGGGGGACGAGGTAGGGAGGGCATGACGAGGATATGAAGGGAGAGAGGGATGTGGGGTGGAGTGGAGGTGGAGGCTGGAGAGGGCAGTGAATGAGGGCCTGGCACTGGAATCCTGGCTCGGTGAACTGGCTCTGTCTCACACAGCCACACTGGAATGGATGGGATGCTCAGATGGCTGTTTAAACAGGTTAATTGTGCTGGCCTCCCAGGAGATCGGGACAGATGGATAGATGAATAGGATGAGAGAGGAGAGGAAGAGAGAGCAAAAAGAGCGACAAAGGGAGAGTGATGGAGCTGGGAGAGATAGAAACAGAGGGCGGGATGAAGAGATAGATGGCAAGAGATGAAAATGGCCACTGATCAGACGCTCCGTGGGGAGTGTGCCGTCTAAACTGTAGAGCTCCGCCCGACTCTGATCAGTGACTGAATAAACAGAGCCAGGTCCACTGTCCACGCACTGACAGACTATGAAG